ACTACTACTACTACTACTACTACTACTACTGAGAACATTGGAAGTCCAAGGGGAGGAGAGCCAAAAGTTCATCTCCCGGGAGCCGACCCTGGAGACTGTGACTACCATGGACCCCGCCGGGGAGGCATGGTGCAGGGTTCGTTGCTTTTGGTCGCAGCTTTTGGATGTTGGTGTTTGGGAGGAGAGGATGAGGAGCAGCAGCGGCAGCAGCAGTGGTGGTAGTAGTAGTGGTCGTCGTCCGAGTAGCAACGGTAGTGGTCGTGGTAGTGGTGGTGGAGATGGAGGTGGTGGTGCTGGTGTTGGTGCTGGTAGTGGTAGTAGCAGTAGTAAGCTTTCCGAACCCCCCCTCCATTAAGCCCTCATCGCTTCAAAGAGTAGCTTCAGAATATGGATGCGGGGTTGCATCGATTTTCTGTGACCCTAAGCCCCACGACCTAAACCCGAACTGGGCCCTAAACCTTAAACCCTCAAAGGATTATAGCTTGTCGGTCAGCACTGCTTGTTGCAGTAAGGGCCCATCGCATTGCCAGGGAGCCCGGCTATCGAGAAGGTCTCCACGTCGTATCGTACAGTTGTGAACAACACACGACCACTCTCCAAGTCTCTTTCGGTTGAAGTATATTGGTGTTACATTATTGGGAGTAGTGCTTCACTATTGTTCATCAATAGTGATAGTGAGCATTGTATGTGTGTTCGCCCAGGGAAGCAGAGCATGAACACTGCCACCGGTGTGCGTGGTGTTCTCCTGCGGAGACGCTTGGACTGCCAATGGGGAAAGGGCCAAGCCCTAAACCTGAGACTTTAAACCTAGACCGTCAAGCCTGGCTCTCTTGTTGAGAGATCTTATTCTTTTATTGTTATAAGTTATAGCATTACGTTTACGTATTTGTTGAAGTTCTCTTCATGAAATGCTCAATGTTCGGAATTCCTTCAGCTTAGGGTCACGTTTGGGAGCATACTTTCATGGTAATAGAAAGAGTAGTAAGAGTAAGAGTAATAGGAATAGTCCAAGTGAGAGCGAGTGTAAGAGTAGTAGTAATGTGTAGGATTTCCATGTCAACTCACACATTTTGGGCTCCCGGCCTCGGACTTTCTGGCTGATGGCAGTTTTAGGCTTTGGGGGTTCAGGGCTTCAGGCTTGCAAGGCCGCAGGGCTGGGGTTCAAAGGGCCCTGGAGCCTTGTTTGTTGGCTCCCCGAGGCCCTGTGAAGGTAGGAACCATGGCTCAGGTGAAGGCCCATGGGTGGTCTTCGCTGCATCAGGGAAGCCGCGCAATTGCTGGTTCGGCTGGAAAGGCGAGGGGAAACGCAAGCCTGAAAGACTAGGATGGGATAGGACAGGCATATTCGGTAGATTCATAAAGGCGCCAGCTGCTAGGGTCTTTCATCCAGCCCCCAATGCGTTCAAGCTCTGCGTGGCTCGGCTCTTGAGCCGGGAGCTGGGATGCAGAGCCTTTGTTTCTCTGCATCCGATGGAACGGTGCACCTGGCTTTTCCGTGCACTCCCATGTGGTGCAAGGGGCGCGCCCTTAGATGAACAGGCCATCGAAGCCTGTCAATCTCCAATTCCCGGACGTTAAGGGGCATGTCGTTGCCCCTTGGAAGCCGTCGAGCCCGAACTCTTAAAATCCTACACCGCAAGCCTGCAGTCGGAGAATGTCCCTCGTTGGAAATACTGGTGCTGTCTAGTCACTAGTCATTGTATATCTGCGTCAAAGTCCTGTACCCAAATAGTCGTCTTGGTGCTTTGTCGGGTTTGAGGGTCGAGGCTTTAAGTTTAAGTGTTCAGGGTTTGAGGGTTGAGGAAGTTTAGGGTGCAGGGGTGTAGGCTCTGTAGATCGTGGCCGAGCTATCCGTGAAGGGGTTGAGCCGTTTGGGGATTCAGGGATGACGGCATATCGTTTGGGCGAGTGTGATATGGTTTCTTCGGCAGTCTGCATGTGGCCTGCATCCGCGTGATTTGACAGGAATGGAGTGATGGCGATGTTGCAGTGTATTCCAAGTCCCAAAGGCCGAGCAAGAACAATAATCTAAGGGCCTATAATTACCAATACTATTTTGGGAGTTCCTTGCTAACTATACCCTCAAACCCTATTCTAATTACTTAGGCCGCTACATAAGACCAGTCTTTTCACTGTCTCAACCATCTTCGGTTTGCAATCGTACCGCTACAGGCTGAATCGGGCGTTGCGGTAGAACTTGTGCCTACGATGCTACCCAAACACAGTTCGCAGAAGCAACGCTCTAATCCTAAACCCTGAAGCCGAAATAGCTAGACCCTAGACCTAAACCCTAAACCCGTAGATAGGGTTGTAAATCCTCAAACCTGTAGGATTTAGCTTAAACCCTAAAACCCTAAACCCCAAAACCTTGCGGTTTGCATTAAGTTAGATGTCCCTGCCTGGTTCAGAGCGAGGGCTCGGGCTATGCGGCAGACTGGGAAATCGGATCACCTGAAGACTGTCCTTGGAATCCTACACAAGCCTGAAAACCCTATTTGGGGGTTTCCGAAAATAGGGGACCCTACTAGAGTATCCTAAATAGTGGGGTACTTATTCTAACGACCCCAAAATAAGGTACCCTTCTTTTCTGAGACTCCCGTTTGGATTCTTGAGGCCCCCCTGGTTGTTGAGGTCTCTGTATTGTAGAACCCTTTATAGAACCCTTTATAGGAACCCCTGGAGGCATCCAAAGGCTTACCGGATAAGAAAGAGTCCATGACAAGCCCTAAGCCCTAAGCCCGAAGGCCGATCATTTCCAGCCGTCTCCTGGGAACAGCGACCAGCAAAGTTCGAAAATGCCCCGAACCCTGAGTCCTCAAGTCATAGCCTTGAATCCTTGTCTTAGACTGCAAACATAAAACAAAAAGTATACATATATGTATATATATATACACACATACATACATACACATGTTCGATAGATTGAAGCCTGTTAAGCCTTCAAACCTTAGGATTTCGGGGTTGAGGCTTTACAGTTTAGGACTCCTCAATCAAGGTGTGCTTCTGTGATCCTTGTCTGCCAGTCTACCGAACGCGAGCAACGAATGTTGAGGAAGAGCTTTCTAGGACATTTTCCGGGAGAGACCGCATTTCGCAGGATTTTCCAAGGGTCGTCTAGGGTATTCGTTTTGGAACTAAGCTTTCTATCAGCTTTCTTGAGAGTTGTATAGGCTTTTCTAGGGGCATTTTGGGGCCTTCTACAGGTTCAGCGTTTTGCTCCCTAGCCCTAAACCCTGAACCTTAACCTGCAACCTTGAACCGGAACCCTTAGACTCTTAGACGTTGAACCTTCAGCACTTGTAGAGATTCTGAAAAACCGCATGAAAGCCATATACCTAGAAGAAAACCTGGACACCCTTAATGAACAAAGTGGCTTGTGGACAAGCCAAAGTTTTCTCTGTTGGAGAGCCTGCGCTGCCTGGGCTTCAAGCCCAGAACAGCTTTGGTGGGTTTAAGGCCCTGCATTTAAAACGCTGGGATCTTCATACACCCGCGATCCGCAGGCATTGTTTGAACTTGTAGAGGTTGATCTTCGGCCAAAAGCCATTATGTTACGGCAAGCCGTGGATTCGCGAGCCCGCAAGCTTCCCCCGTGGAGTGTAGGCTAACTACAAATTGAAGTGCGGTTTCGGCTTTGGGTTCGGCTTTTCGCAGCGACTACTCAACACCAGAAGCAGCAGTGGCGGGAAGCTTCGTATCGGCTACGTGCTCCACCGGCGTGTCTGAACAGGAACCGTCATCTCAGCCTCCTGGTGAAGCCTGAGATCAAGAAGGCTTCTGATGTTTTGAGCCTGTTTCTTCTGTGAGTCTCCTGCACCGGGATGCGCCTCCCCTCGTGCTTCTCCACCCTCGAAGCTTTAGTCCCCAGTCCACAAGCACCTACAAACCGCACGAGGCCGCAGGCGGTGCGGGGGAGCACAACCAAGGAGGGAGGCTCAGGGGAAGAGAGCACGACCCAGGGCTCCCCCTCCTCCTCCCCGTCCTTTTCGCGTGGCTGCCAGTCATGGGGACCAGGGGTTTCGGGCTGAAGGCTCAGGGTTTTTTTGGGGGGTTTCAAGGTTTTTTGGGTTGTAGGTCCAGGCTTTAAGGGTTTAGAGTTCAGGCGTCTTGGCCTTTGCGGCTCCAAGGGTTACACCTTCGGCTTCGGCTGCGCGAGTAGTTTCAAGCAGAGAGCGATTTTCAATTTCTACGCACGGGCTGGTGGTCCTTTGGGTCTAGGGCTCAAGGAGGGTTTTACGGGCATAAGGATTGTGGGTTCGTAGTAGCTTTAGGGGATTTCCGTAGGAACTTCTTGTGAACCACGAAAAGTGTTTTCTGAACCTCTTAGTGGCCATTCGTGGTGGCTAGTGGTGGATATCCATGGATATCAGTAAGGGGGGTGGGGTTCTGGACTGGCTGGACTTCGGAAATCACTCCATGATGCCCCCGAGCATGGCATGTCGCCACAAATTTCAGAAGGGTCGGACATGCAAATCACTAAGCAGCCAGCATATCTGACCCTATAAACAGGGTCGGTAGTGCTGGATCCAAGCCGTAAGCCCTAAACCCCAAACCCCGAAACGTATGGGTGCAAAGAGGGTTGACCAGATGAGGTGACCAAAGAATTCTCGGGTAATCATGAGACAAAGCAAGTTTCTCGGAGCTCTTGCCCGCTGCATGCCGCTAGTGGCTTTCCCTATGATCCCGAAGGGTTCCCAACAGTTTCCATGTAAGTTATTGCGATAAGGGTTGAGAGTTCGGCGAAGCAGAAGCTCTGTGAAAAGATGAGGTAACCTGAAGCTTGTAATCGTTATAACCCTGTAGCCACCGCCCTCGCCCAAAGGCCATCACTCTCTTAGCCGTGCGTCCCACGCTTCTTAAACTTATGTCTTATGTCGTCTCAGCACCGCTGGGCCCTCACAGAGCCTCATGGCCAAGAAAAAGCGCCTTCTGAGTTTGCGCGAGTACCTTGCCTTGACATTGTCTGCGTCGCTTTCGAAGTCGCGGTGCGAGATTTCAGTATGGCTGCATCTGCGCTGGTCAGAGTCTCACTGTCTATTGCACCTGATCTCGTCGTTGCTTTCATCACACTTAGTAGTAGTAGTAGTAGTAGTAGTAGCAGCAGCAGCAGCAGCAGCAGCAGCAGTAGTAGTTGTCGTAATGGTAGTGGTAGTGGTAGCGGTAGTGGTAGTGGTAGTGGTAGTAGTGGTAGTAGTAGTGGTGGTGGTAGTAGTAGTAGTAGTACTAGTAGTAGTCGTGGCGGCAATTTTGGTGGTGGTGGTGGTGGTGGTGGTGGTAGTCGTCGTGGTGGAGATGGTGGTAGTACTAGTACTTGTTGTCGTCGTCGTGGCAGCAGTCGTCGTCGTAGTAGTAGTGGTAGTAGTAGTTTATCAGTAGTTTATCAGTAGTTGTAATCATAGTCGCGGTGTATCGCAATCGTAATCATAGCATGATAGGATTAGGAGTACTGGTAACAAGGCTCATCATACGACCAAGGGTTATTCAGCGTACTACTAATAGTGCCACTAGTGCATATCATAGTCATAGTATTAGTAGTCTAGTCATAGTGCCATAAAGCTAAAAAATATATTAATCATACTATAAACGATCAGAAGTAGCTATAATGATAGTAATTAATGAGACGAAGGGGGTTTTGGCTTCAGGGCTGAGGTTTTGGGGCCGCCAGTCGCCAGCACCGACGGTTCCCGGAATGCCGACACCCCCAAAGCCCCAAACACCCAAAGCCAGCTCCATGAGGCTCCTTTTTGCCTGAGCCTGAGCTCTCGGCGTTTGGGGATCTCGCTGAGGAGGAGGTGCCTCGCGTTGGGCAGGGATTTTTGGGTCTTGGGCACTAAGGGCTTTCGGGTCCAGTTGAAATCTTTGGTTCCAGCTCGTGAAATTCCCCAAATCGCATCGTCGAGGTAGACCGTCGACATGGTCCTGGTTGGAATTCGGTTCAGGGTGTCGGGTAGCCCCAAACTACCTGTAAAACCCCAAACGCTAAACCCTAAAGACAACGGCTGAGCCGCAAAAACCCGAATCCAAAGCCAGATCTCGCCTGGTCAGCCGCCGACGTGTGAAGTGTTTTCGTAAGTCTACATCCCTTTTCTTGGCAAAATGAATGCTATAAAGATTGGTATCATGCTGAGTCTTCAGAGTCTTAGTCTGATGATTATTTTTCATTCTTACGCTGATGATTTCGCTGACTCTGACTCTGATGATGATTATGACTATGACTATGACCCTGACCCTGACTCTGGCCTATGACTATGACTATCACTGCGACTATGGCTTTGACTTGAATTATGATTAGGATGATTACGATTATTTACAGTTTAAGTATCATCGTTGCTGAGTGGATGCAGAAATTTTCCGTTATCGTCAGCGCCTGCTGTGCTTCGTAGAGGAGCATCCAGCTTGCATATGATGATGATTATGGTTAAAGATTTTAAAGCTTGGTGTGACTTTTGTACTGCCTTGAGCAACCGTAACAAGTATCCCTTTACAGACCAACGAGGAACTTCCGTAACCCGAAAAAACCGAATGGAGTTGGCATGAGGAAGACCGAAGCCAGTCAAGCTCAACACCCCAGAGTTGAGACTGCCGACTTTAGAATTGGTCTCTGTTTTGGGGTTATGGGTTACCGGGTTGTGGGCTTAGGGAGGGCCCAGCACGAGCATCCGAAGCCTGTTGCAACTCTGCAGATGCTGCGCAGGGTCCTGGCAAGATCACCGCCGCAGATGCAGAGGTCATCGTGCCGTCCTCGCTGTTGTCGTCGTCGTCGTGATAGAGTGGCATTGGTAGTGGTGGAGGCATAGGAGTCGTAGGAGTAGTAGTAGGACTTAGTGGTAGTCGTAGTCGTGGGACTGGGCGGCGGAGGGGGATGAGGAGGCAGTGGAGGAGGAGGAGCAGGAGCAGGAGCAGGAGCAGCAAGAGTAGCAGCAGCAGGAGGAAATGGAGGAGGAGAAGGAGCCAACTGGTAGCTCGTTGTCATCGTCATCGTCATCATCGTTGTCGTAGTCATGGTCGCAGCCGCAGTCGCCGGAACTTGCAGGAGGTTTGAATTTTTGCGATGTTGAGACGTTTCGATGCAACGGTTTCTGACATTTTTCCAGGACCCTTGCGACTTTCGAGGCAGCAGACTTCCCCAGCCCCTTCACTTCCCAACTTCGGCTCACTCTTTGGTTGGGCACAGTTGCCAGGATAGACAGGACTTCCAGTCCAAGCAGAAAGCCTTGATTGAGCGGTACACTCCTGTAAAATGTCCCCGGCGCCCCTAGTCTATTCAACCAGGCCCTGAAGCCTGCAAACTACCGAAGAAAACACATTCTCCATGCTGATTACGTTTCTTGCGGCATCCCAGAAACCTAAACCTAAACCATAAACCCTAAACCCTAAACCCTAAACCCAAAACCCTATACCCTAAACCCTGAACCCTAACCCTAAACCTTAAACACCAAGTCCCAAAAGATCCTTGGAGGGTTTCTGCTGCAGGGCATCGAGCTCAATGCCGGGCGCTCCCTCGTCGAGCTTGCCGTCACGAACACGGGTGACCGCCCAATCCAGGCTGGGATGCTTTGAGGGCTTTGGGGGTTCATGGGGGCGTCTGGGGTTTGGGGCGTTGCAGAGGTACAACCTCGGAGCTTTGGATGGCTTCGAGACATGAGCCCAAGGCCAAATTCTAGACCCTGAGCTCCAACAACCCCTTACCTCGAAACGCGAACACCCCGAGCCGCTGTTAGGGCAGACCCCCGGAAGGCATAGAGGACCTCTGTTCTCTGCTCTTTGGGGCCGGGAGTCGGCTTCAGGATTCAGGGTTCCTTTAAAGGGATCTATACCGGGCTACGGCTACTAGAAGGGATGCTAGAAGGCTACTGTAGGGCTTCAGGGTTTCAGGGGGTTTTTGGTGGGTTCTTCGTCCCTAAGTTCTCCGCGCTAGAGTTCCCTAAACCCAGTGGTCATGCCCTGTTGAACATCAAACCCTGACGGTCCGATAGGATTCTGAATTAGTTGCAACAACCCCTCCTATAGTACCTACATACTTTTGCTACGAGAAGCCCCAAAGCTCTATTCTAATTATCGAAGTCCCCATATTAAATGCCCTTCGTCGTCGGAGGTTGGATCACACTACCACTTCATCGAGACCAACAAAGCTTTGGTGTTCGACCGTGCGAAGGTGCCCGGCGAGTGGAGAGCGAGGATTTGAGGGGTTTACATAAACGCTACTCTAGGGGATTCTACAAGGGTTGCTGACAGTGTTCAGGGTTTCAGGTTTGCAGCGCTTTAGGCTGACAGGATGTTGGCAGTAAGGGTTTGAAGTGATCTGGATGCAACACTTTTCAAAGCCCTTTCTCAACAGCCAAAAACCGATTCAACAGATGCAACTTCAGGAACAGCAATACTTGAAAACTCACATTACACACGAGAGATACAGCTTCAAACCCCTGTTTTTGGAGAACCAGAGCCAAGGCTTATGGCCGACGCCTGAACGTCCCCTCGGGCTCGGCTGTCCGCTTCGAGCCCGGCGATTCCAAGGCCTGTCTTTTATTGAAAGCTTGGATTTGCAATAAGCCGTTTACGGAGTTTTATGTTTAAGGGTCTATGGCAGGGTGTGTTCTTGATGTGTTGTTGTCGTATTGTTGTTATTGTTGTTGCTGTCAGAGTTTTTACAACTGAATAGGTTTGTAAGTATGTACGTGTATATATATATGTATGTATATATCTATCTATCTATCTATCTATCTATCCATCTATCCATCCATCTATCCATCCATCCATCCATGCATCCATCCATCCATCCATCCATCCATCCATCCATCTATCTATCCATCTATCTATCTATCTATCTATCTATCTATATTGTATTTTTTTCAAATTCTTGTTGTTCTTATACAGCGTACTGTTATTGTCATTGTTGCCGCACTTCGTACTATGTCAGGCATCATAAGCATCTCTATCGCCGTTATGTTGCAACGATGCTATTGTTAATCATGACTGCCAGTATCGGTGCTCGGGCCATTGCCCTAACTATTGTCATGGTGGTTCTTATGCATGTTGTTATGCTGATGATTCCGTGGTGAGTATGATTAACAACATGATCAGTGTTGCCCTCTGGTTGCGAATGTGGTCATCAAATCGAACAGTTTGTGCATACGATTCCCATCAGTCTACTTTTCTGCGGCAAGCGTTTGTATTTATAATTCGTGTATTCGCGGTGCTTCTGCTACCGGCAACGTGGTGTTTCATTGGGTGTTATGCAGGCGGTGCTGATGTGCTAGTGTCGCCAGTATGTTTCGAACTTGTTGCCTCAGTCCGTGGAGTACTCGGTTCGCCTAGCCTCATTGCCGTTGTTCCCAGAGAATGTGAATGTGATTGCAACTGTCAACTTTTCACTTAGTGCTGGTGTCATGCTTGCCATTAGCATCATGGCTTTCTCATGAACATATCGAAAGCAGATCGAAAGGCTGGAGTGAGGGAATTCATTTGCTTCAGGGAGCTGGGTCTCGGAGTTCCGATTTTGGGGGTTGAAATTCACTGAGAAGGACGCTTGTATGCGGTTCGAGATCCAAGAAGTTGTCTGTGTAAAGGGCCTGACAGGAAACGGGATCTGGGTTATGTAATCCCATTCCCAGGCCACTGGAGGCCTCAAGACCTCCATCCGCACAAAAGCAACCTCCACGCTTTGGGCTAAATACGACCCCTTCCGAACCCCGATAAGCTTCTGCAAGGAATCCCTGCGTCCCTGATGCACAGCCCAACTCCAAAACCCTAAAGCAAACCCCAAAAGTGCTGGCTTTCAGGTGGTGACGCTCGTGGAGATCGCCGGCAAGAAGCGAGTGGTGTGGCTCCCTGCGTTTACAGTGTAAGGTGGTGCCTCCTTTCGCGGGCCTCCACCCATTTCTTCCTTCCCCCCTACCTGTACCCTCTTCCCTTACCCCACCCCCCTACAGCCTTAATTCAGATTCCTGAACCTCCCTACTCCCCACCTAAACCCTAAATGCGAACCCTGAATCCCGATCCCTTACACCGCCCTTATAGTACTCGCTATCGTAACTCTTAAAGTACTACTTAAAGGAACCATGACGGTAACCTAAACACTAAACCCTCAAGCCTAAACTACCCTTCTAGTATCCCTTGTAGATCCCCTGAAGGAGCCCCGAAAAAGGAGCTTCCACAAACCAGGTCTCTGGCAACCGACTTGTGGATGGCGTCGCCAGCCGAGGTCTCAGAGCTCTCGAGTCGCTGTCTGCTTTGAGGGCTTCGGGATATAAGCCCTAAACTCTTGCAGGAACCCTACAATGGGTTCCTTGAAAAGGAACCCTGAAAAGGACCCAGTGTACGGGAACCCTTAGGTTCTGGCACAAGACAGTTCTGATCGTTCCTTTACTTGCTTGCGCTGCCATGGCACCAGCTTCCTTCACAAGATTGTGCCATTCTCCCCCACAGTGAGCGCTTCATTGTCACTATGATCTTCTATCTACATTGCCACCATGACTTCTCCGACGATTGCCAAGAAGACTGCAAGGATTGCCATTATGACGTCTTCGTGCCGATTGCCATCTAGGCTTCTGGCTGCTGGAATGCCATTGGAATTTCGTTCGACATTGGACTTCATGCCGACTGATTGCGAGCATCTGCACCAGACCGTCAAATTCAGGTCGATAAAGTCAGTTCCACAGCTACGATCTGACCAGCAGTGGAGGATGGGCTCTCCCTAGTTTTCTCCTACCTGACCTCATATCCTCGATTTGGACGCAAGTTTCCCACACTTATGCTGGAGGTTCTACATTGGTCTATATGTCATCCTGCGCTTTATCGCCGCAGCGCCACGGGCGACTACCTATGGTGAACCCACCTGACCATGCTTCCCATGCTTACGTGTTTAGCCAACTCTGGGAGACAGTGGCTCCCAACACGCTGCAGACGGAAACCTCTGGAGCATCCCAACACACTGTCAGGACTGCAGGTGCGGCCGCCCACACTTTTGACAGAGGCGCACTTGTGGATCACTAGCAATAGGATTCGTTCTATGCTTCCCCACGTTGGACGACAACAACTCCAACTTATCATGCAACCCTTTGAACTATCCCACAATACTGTCTAGGGGAGCCGACATGAGGCGAACCGGGGGACCACGGCCTTCCCATGCTCTATGCCAGTATCGATTGACTTATCAGGTGCCTCATCTTTTATCGGCGAGTGGTCACGAATGCCCCTTGTGCGTCGGGTGAGCTTCATCAGCGACTACAGAAGCCTCCTGCTTTTCCCCACCATCCTCTCACCCGAAAAGGGTAGCGAAGAGCCCGGTATAGACATGCCCATCGTGTATGTAGTTTCCCTGAACTTGTTTCTCATGCCGTATGCTTCCGTCGACCCCTTATGTTTTCCCCGCACGTTAGTCGCCTTGAAAGGGCTGCTGACGAGCGGTCTCACCTGTGGACACGCTCTTCGCATCGCGAAAGAGAAAAGAGAGAGAAGGGGAACCCTTCCTCCATGGACCCACGATAATAGTAGCTCCATGTCCCCTCCCAGCTCCCCCAAACCCTAAAATTAAAGCCTTAATGAGTAAGTCCGAGTGAGCACAGAGCACAGCTTCCATGCACTGACGTCAGCAGGCTCTCTTGGTATAACTGCCAAGAAAAAGGTCCTCAAAAACACCCTGAACCTTGAACCCTAAACCCTAAAGTCGGGGATATTTTCGATCCTTGGCTCGCCCAGGCACCGACCGCTTGCCCGAGGCGGATCTCATCGTTTTGTTTTGGGCTTCAGGGTGTTAGGAAAAAGGCTTTGGGGCTTTGATTTGGGTCGTAGGGTTGAAGGGCTTGATAAGGTTCGGAGTTTTGGGGTGGCAGGTTTTTTAGATAGCTGTGAATTTGGTGTTGGGGTCTAAATTTAGGCTCGGGGTTGACGTAGCTGCGGGGTTGCGTCGAATTTCGGGTTCGGGGTGTGGCTGATGACTGTTGTCATGATACTGATAGTGGCAACCACCTGCATTTCTCCATTTTCTTGTCCTTTGCCGCAGTGGCAATCCTGGTAGTGATGCCAGGATTATTCGGCTTCTTCTTTTTTCTTCTTCTACTTCTACTTCGTTATCGTTTGTTTTTCTGCTTTTGTTACTCTTGCCAGTTCACTCAGTGTTGCTATTTGAGGCGCTATTGCTAACAGACGATAATCGTTGCCTGAGTTGTCATTACTGCTGCTGTTCTTAGTGTCAGTGCCGCTCTTTGAGGGTTACTTTAAGGGTTCTATCAAGGTTCTATAGTAAGGGGTTAGGGTACGTCTTCTTTTTGCTGACGGCTTTGGTTCTCGAGAGCTTTGGTTCGGGGGGTCAGGTTTGGCTGCATGGTGGAGACTGTCCGAGGTTGAGTTTTGGGGACGCATGAATTTAGGCTTTAGGGCGACGCAGCTGTCTGTGCTTTCAGCCAAGAGCCCGAAGACCCCAGACCTTCCGCGTCTACCCTCTCGCTGCAACCCACAAGGACTTCAGCCCTAAACCCAAGCCCCGATCCGAATCTGCACTGAGCTTCCAGGTGCTGAAGCGTGTCGAAGAGGGCGGATTTGGCCACCAGGCTCCCGGTCAGTGACCTGAGGGTTTGGAGAAGTTAGTAAGTGACTGGTTATGATTGGTTTTGATTGTAGATATGGCTATAGATATAGTTTATGCAGTTGTTTAACCAGGCGTTTTGCTGCATATGGTTCAAGATCTACTCCCTGCAGTATACTTATTCATTCAGAATCCGCGCACCTCGCCTAGGGATGTCCCGGTTCCACTCTGTGTGTGGCCCCTAGCACCTAGTTCGCTGGCGTGGCTGTTGGGCTTTGAGGTCAGCAAGGATCAAAACTAGTGCAAACGAAAACATCAAGCTAAACCTACAAGCTTGTAGTGCATGCTCCGAAAGGGAGCAGGGTTCTTACAGAAAATCCACAATCGTGAAGTGACCACTACTCGGTCTTTTGGTATTGGTGCCGACAGCCTTGGTTGCTGTGGCAGCGATGCCACGACGTGTCCTTGCTTCCGATCAAGGCATGTCAGCCAGACTTTCCGGCGCAAATCCTAACTACGAAATTGCTATACTGAACCTGCATACATAATCAAAAAGCCATAGACCATAACGCCTAAGCCTTGGTTGTACCCTGAAACCATGTCCCCTAAATTCGAAAACTCAAATCCCTAGACTCCCAAGCCGCAAGCCCCAAAGAACTTCTAATGAAGCCTTCGAGAGAATCCGAAGGGAGCCTTATGACACCAGCCGTTTTTTGCCCTAAATCGGCGGAGTTAACGAGAAACCTTCAACCAGGCTGTGGAGACTGCCGCTGAAGGCAAGCCGCTAGCTTGCGCCTCAGTCCTTGCGCACCCTGTAGATGCACTTGCCCTCACACAACAAAGGCCAAGCCCACGGTTGTAGTACTGTAGCTACCCGCTGGTGCGGGGCATGGTTTTTCTGAGCTTAGTAAGCAAATGCTGGCGACGCTGGTGATTATGAGGATAAGTAAAGGTTCACACGAGAAAGATGACTGCCGAAACCCAGCACCGAAACCACGATCAACGCTACCACTGTGACGACGACGTTCGGCGGCGGCGATGACGATGACCATAGCCGTGGAGATGATGGGGACGTCGACGATGGTGGTGACGCACATTGTTGTCCTCGTGCTGCAATGCACCCTAAAGTCTCAAATTGTGCCTCTAATGCTGAAGCCCTAAAGCTGTAAACCCTGCAGCCTTAAATCCTAAACCGCCGCAAGCCCTAAAATCCCAAGACTTTAAGACCCCAAGCCCCCAAGACCTTAGAGTGCAGCAGCTCCTATAGTAAGCCTTATGGATGTAACCGGAACACCGGCTCTGCCCGAAGCACACAGGTCTTGGCCCGGGATCGCTACGCGGAGCTTTTTGGACCCACAGCGGGGGACAAGGCCAGCTTTCGCCCACTTTTACCGAGGTTTGGGGCGCAGAGGCCTGGAGCAGCTTTTGTTTTGGAGGAGGAACTTTTGTAAGGTGTTTTAAAGGGTTGAGCTTGCCGCGACACCAGGATTCCACACCGAGTGTCGGCAAATCTTGCACGGGACTCCACACTGCTCAAAGCCCTGAGCGTAGCACCAAACTCCATACTCTGAGCCCCAAGCTCAATCCAGCACTTCTCACCTGACCCCGCGGACCAGGGTCCAACCCAACTCAAGCCCGACGCCGTCTGCTCGAAGAAGTCCAGAAGAATCATGGCCGTATCACCAACATAGTGGAGATGGCCAGGTCCGCTTGGGCGATACTAACCTCGTTGCAGAGGTGGAGAAGGCAGCGTTTTGAGCACGGCAGGGGCTACCAGCACCAGCAGTAGCACTCTTCGTCACAGTCGTAGCTTCAGTGCTACTTCCACTAGCAACCACTAGCAATCGCAATGCTAACAGAGGTATATATAACTCTTCCAGTTTGTGCTTGTCGTTACTGGTAACGATGTTGTGATGGAAAACCTCATTGTGGTTGCCAAGATTGTTGCTATGCCTGGTCTCCAGGACTTCACAGTCTATGGCGAGGAATGCAAGTTCGGAGGCACATATTGGAAGGAGGGGGTGGGTGGGACAAGAGAAGCCTGGTCTAAGGTTTTGCTTTCAGGGCTTTGGTGTGTCGCATTTCGGGCTGGTGGCTTCGTTCCTGCAGGAGCATGCTAAGGTCACAGAGTTGCCAGGGTCTTGCTAGCCGTTTAGCAAGTACACCGGGTAGTCTTTGAAAGACCGCATGCTTTGCAATTTGGATCTGTTATGATGTTCTTGATGATGACAATGACGACGCTAACGGCGACGATGACGATCATGATGTTGATGATGGCAAGGATGATGGCATTGGTGATGATGATGTTGCTGATGAAGATGAAAAAGAAGAAGATGATGCTGATGATGTGATCCTCCTCCTCCGCCCAACTCTCACCATCACCATCACCATCACCATCACCATCACCATCACCATCATCATCATCATCACTATCGTCGCTGTTCTCGTCATCATCCCACCCTCAAGTGAGCATCGCCATCGTCGTTGTCAGCGGCAGTATCACGGTAATATCGGTTAAAGCGGTCAGCAGTACCAACACCAACATCAGCATCATAGTTGCTTCGTCGTCATTATCATTGTCATCGTCATCGCCATCGCCATCGTCATCGTCATCGTCGTTGTCATCATTATCAGCATCCTTTTGCTCCTCCGTCCTCACCATCCCCATCACTTTTGCCAGTCATTCCTCACAAGAGCCAAGCGTGCTTATATCGGGTGCTGCTGCGGCTTTGTTGTCGGTAGTGGTATCTCCTGTTCCTCTTTTGCATGGAGAGCTTGTTGTTGAGGATGTTCGATCTCCTGTTCATTAGAGGTTTCACCAGAAGCGTCGTCTGCTGCTTCGCAGGTGGGAAGGTGCTGCGCGAGGGCATGGGGCAGGCAACAGGAGTACCGGCCAAGGCCGCTGGGATGCTTCAGCGGTAGGAAGAGTAGCGCTAGAAGGGTGTCTTTTTTCGATGCACTATTGCCATGAACAGTTCAGGGATGTCCAATGGCCGTCGTGGATAGTCGCAAAATCACGCAGCTCAAGATTCGGCGACGCATGAGAGATAGAAGTAGTGGCAGTGGTAGTGGTAGTGGTAGCAGGAGCTCAGTGTCACAAGAAGTGGAAACTTAGCCACCGCAGTGTTTGCATGCAGCATGCTCGTATCTTTTGTTGCTGGTCTAGCACGTGAAGCCCATCATGTTGGAATGCGGAAACTCGATGAATTATTGCTCTAGGTCCTTAGATCACTGTTAAGGACGTTTCGGGCAACAAGTGTTTGTGTCGGCGGCCTGTTTGCTTAAACTACGATCTCGGCGTTTTTGTTTACTTTCCCTGGCTCTAATCTACCTTCCTGCCTTCACACAGTTGGTGCTTGCGTCCCTGCATGTCACCCTTGAGAAGGACGCCTTGGATGTAGTCATCACAAATGCGTTGATCGTGGATGCCAAGCTCGGCATTGTGTGCCATGGCCGCACAAGCTCTGTTGCTGCCGGCAATTCCGGACTCACTTAGCCCAACAGGAGACAAATTTAGGTGAACAGTTGAGTGGGCGCCACCATACCAGCAGCCAGCAAGCTTTGACACTCGACCGACCATGCAGCCCATTTAGATAGAGGTTCAGAACTAGAGACGGACAGGGCAGGCTCGGAGCTCAAACTCGTACCTCTGTGGATTTGGCATGACCGCCAAGGGTTTGACCCGGCTGTAGTAGTTTCTGGTGGCCCGACTCCAGAAACAAGCTCAAAAAGAAAGGCTTGGGGGGGGATCATTGATCTGTGAATTTGGCTGAGTGCCAGAGGATAAAATTTCCTTTACCGTGCTCAGGCCACACAGGAATTCTATATATATATATACACACATCTAAATAGATAAATAAATATAAGTAAACACATATGTATATGTGTATATATATATATTTATCTATGTATACATCAGGGTGTTCCAGTACAGTCTGTCTTCCATCCTCCTGCAGAGTCTTCCAAAGTCTTCCTCTACGTTGGGGAGCCTGCTGAAGAAGTGCCTTCGACAAGCCTAAAATTTCTAATCCATACAGGGGTAGGCCCTAGACCCCAAGCTCAACACCTGAGACCTTTCAAGCCCTGAACCCCTCATTCAAACAACTCCTGAACTGTAGATCCCAGCCACAACAGAATGCCCCTGCATTTCGATTCTTCTCTGGAGCCAAGGAAGGCGGCACCTTGGCAGCATGCCCTGTAGAATGAGTCGGAGATCGATGGTGCAAGCGCCAGGGTTCAGTCCGCTACAACTGGAAAGTAGTAGTTTAGTAGTCCTTCCAGCTACTACACCCCAACCGGGCCCCAATCGCTGCCATTGCCACTGCTACCAAGACTCCTGCTCCTGCTGCTGCTTTCCTGACCAGACCAAGACCACAGTCGTTCAGTACAGTTGCTACTGCAGCTGGTACTTATGCGACGACTTCTGCGGCTGGTACTTATGCGACGACTTTAGCTACCACCATTGCCTAAGTTTAGAGACGGTGATGATGGGGGTTTTGGCTGCTGCTACTTCCTAGCTATAGCAGTAGTGACGGTTTGGATTATGATCGAACTTACGTTCGTTTTTGTGCGATTGGTCGTTGTCATCGTCGTTGATGTTGCACTAACACGAGTTATGGCATCGTTATCACCGTTATCACCACTATCCTCGCGCCCAGGACATTGGCATCAAGGGCAACCATATTGCTGGCATCGGCAAAGCTGCCGCCTGAGACATCGCAGAAAGCACCGGAGGCCCCGAACGACAAAGCCGACGGTAAGCCCTAAACCTTAAACTTATGTGTATATATATATATGTACTTAATATCTCCTAAGCCGCCTCTCTCACACCCCGCAGCAGAGGTCGGAGGTGTAGAACCCTGAGGCCGGGAACCCTGACATCATGGACGGCGTCACGGAGGGAATGGTGGTGGGCGCCCGGGGCCTCAGGTGCTTCGTGCTTACATGCTTGGGACAGCAAGGGACCAAAACGACATAAGTAAAGGTCTGCGTGGTTACTAATACTATACCCTTGCAGTCCCTCTAATGTTGCTAGTGCAATATACACCGAAACGCTGCAGTCCTGGTCAAGGCTGTTAAGGCCCCTTACTCTACATGAGGAAACCCTCCAGATACCACCAGACCAGACTGGGCCAGCAGTGATTTTTTTTTGTGGGCTGAGCTGGATTTCCGAGCCTTGGCAATGCACCCCACATCCGGACCGGCATTCAACCCTCGGACTCCACAGCAAGCAAAACTGGCTAAGAGCATCATACCCACAGATCACCTCTTGAATGTCCTTAATATTTGAAGTCAAGCCTGAAACTTTGCGAGGTCACCACGGAGGCAATCGCAGGGGAAGGCATGATCATCACGGCCGGCGGGCTGGACATGCATGTGAGCCTGGTGTCTTTTGGTTTTGCTTTTTGTTTGGGTTCTCTGGGCTTTGGAAGCTGCCGTTTTTGTTCTGGTGCTTTGAGGGGCACCCCAAGGATCGAACTTGAGTCGAGGGGAGTGTCATGGAGTCTGCAAAGCTGGTCAGATCTCGCTGCACGGGGGGTTGAAGGGCTGGCTCTGTTTCCTTGCAGGGGGCCTCAGGGCCCTTTCGATTGTCTGTTTTTGCTTGGCAAAGCCTTTCGTCTGTTCATCTGTGGCCTTAACAGCGTAGAGACCGTGGATGTTGGCAAAGAAGTTTGCAGGAGCTTTGCTTAGATGCTTTGGCAAGCTGAAATCCATGAGCCTCCCGTGTTGTGACAGAAGTTGTGGCATTAGGGACCAACGGGGTGTGTGATGGGATGATTGACCACGTACCCCTGTAGCGTAGCAGCGGTGGAAATTTTCACAGGATCCGTCTTAAGGGTCGCGTAGCAAGGGTCGAGCAACACGGAGCTTTGGCAGTACCAAGCCGCCACATGTATTTCCTAAACAGGAAGAGATGAGAAGATGCAGGTACATTGGATATGTCCGCAGCAGATTGAAGATGCTGTGGCATCAGGGCTGACAACGATGTACGGAGGAGGCAGCAATGCTGGTACTGGTGACAGAGTGGTAAGGTCAAAGACGTCTGCTTCAGCATCACTAGAAAACCAGCACCACTACTACTACTACTACTATTACTACTACTACTACTACTACTACTACTACTGCTACTACTACTACTACTACAACAACTACTACTACTACTACTACTAACAACAACAACTACTACTACTACTACTACTACTACTACTACTACTACAGCTACTACTACAGCTACTACTACTACTACTACTACTACTACTACAGCTACTACTACTACAGCTACTACTACTA